GTAAATAGTTACCTACTAAGAAGTGGACAGGACATGACATCCACTGGATATTTAACTGTGCCAATGTCCATGTTACATCCAGTGCCACTGGTCAGTCGTTAGTTTTTATACAGGGTGTCCCAAAAGTTAACGATATCCTTTGGAGGACTGATAGACCAACTCATGACTAAGCAGAAAATCGAAATATGACCTTAGTAAAAAAAAATTTGAATTGTAATTAATAGCAGTCCTATTCAGGGTTACGCAAAATAAAATATAATCTAAGAGTATAGAATGTTGTAGTTGTGGCACTAGAAAAACTGATTTTATGTGTCAAGCTTCACAAAGTTCATAAAAATGACAATATCTTAAAAACTTATGATTTTTTACCAAGGTCATGTTTTGATATTCTGATTAGTCATGAGCTGACCTATTAGTCCTTCAAAGGATATCGTTGACTTTTGGGATACCCTGTATAAAAATAGTTGTGTACTGTTTTTTAATCCTATTGCATATTATTAACATTATTTTGTTTTCCCGTATACAGGGCTTACCCTAAATAACTATAGAGTTATAGTAAATATGATCTTGAGCAAAAACAGGTCGATTAAGATATCATGTACAAATCCAGTGATAACAAATATTATGTTGCACCCTCTTACCTCCAGCTACCCTTAGTACCCCGCCTAACATCTACTTTTGTTTTCAGGGGGACATATTTACACATTAATTTCATCACTGTAACTTTAACCCCTTAGCGGGGGCGGTTTTCACCTACATCTTTTGAAAGGGTATTACATTTTCTTTAAAATGGCACTTCGTTTTTTAAATTTATGCTGCTGGTTGCCGAGCAATGGAATTCCGAACATTTTACAAATTTCGTAAAGTAAAAAATTTCTGTAAAAAATTGTTTTTAAACTAACAAATATTAGTCGACAAATAGACTTTATCTTTAGTAAAGTAGTTGATGTGGTTTGTTATTTCTGTGCTTTTATTTTCTAAAAATCTATTGGTATTTTTATCAACAATCAATGTGCAAGAGTAACGGCAAGTTTGTTTAATGAGAGGCATGCAACACGTTCTAAAATAATCGTTCGCTCTTAAATCGCACATATTGTATGTTTGTATATGTTACGGCTAATGTGCAAACTTGGATAGTTTATAAACTAGCTGGATAGTTTATAAACTAGCCAAACTGTCAGCTATTTTAATTGAAAATGTATTTTCAACTAAATTAGCGGCTAGTTTACAAAATAACCAAGGATCTTGGCTAATTTACTTGAAATTATTAGGGAAACTAAAATAGCTGGATAGTTTGTATACTATCCAATTCAATTTGGCTAATATGAAAACCAAAATTTGTAGTAACACAAAATAGCCAAGCTTAAGCTAGTTTGTAAACTAACCAACTAATTCTCTGGCTAATTTATTAAAAAAGTGAGGCATTGTTTTTCGTTTTGCCGGCTTAACCGGATTTGTTTTGTGCATTTTAACGTTTTTAAAATGAATCATAGGCAAAATTTTAACGCTGCCTTGTTAGAAAACTCAAAAACACAACCCTACCGACTCCGCCCTATTGGGCCCCCCGCCCCATTGAGCAAAAAACCCTACTAAAATGGGCAAAAATGAGAGGAAAACCCAACTAAAATTTGAGAAAATCCAACAAAAATTGGCAATCTTGTTGTGTTATTTAAAGTAGTGTTTTAAGTTCAAAGTAATAATGCAAAAAGTCTTTGTGACGGCTGGTGGATTTTGGGTACACCAATATCTCAGTTATTAGACATGGTACCCATATGCAATTTATAATTCACTAAAGTTTATCAACAAATTTCAAAATTTATTTAAAAAGTTCGAGTATTACAGATTTTAAATTGTTTATTAATTCTATTTCTAAATAAAAAAAAAAATTAGAAATGATATAAAATCTGTACATCTTGGACTTTTTAAATAAATTTTGAAATTTGTTGATAAACTGCAGTGAATTATAAATTGCACCACTTTAATTTGAATTATCTTAATTTGGGGGGCATGAGGCTGGTTGGCACACTAAAAAACTAAATATTTTTCCCAAACTTCAGAACTTGTATATAATGTCTAAAAACTGAGATATGAGTGTGTCCAAAATCCACCAGCCGCCACTTTAAGATAATCATGAAGAAAACCGATCGAAAGTTTGTGTTGTCTGAGGCAGGAAGTTAGTTTTTGGTAAATGCAATCTATGTATATTAAATAATAATCTATACAATTTGATAAATCTAAACTGCTTTAAATTTGACAAAAATGACAGTAGATATCCCAATGCAGTATGTGTTTGTCTTTATATGATAGGAGACAGAATATCTTAAAAAGACCTCTTACACATATTTTTGATATAACAAAAAAAACTAATAAAATTCCATGATTTTCTCTAAAAACTAATAAAATCAACTTTTCGATCAGCTGCGATTTACCTAAAAATGGTTTTAGAGAGCCTAAGTGGAGTACAATTAGATATAGTAAATAGTTTTTGGCTACATTTTTGGTCAAACTATTCACCCTTGAGGACCGCCGTGTGTTACAATAGTTAATATTGTACACATGTTTATTATGCTTGTAATGGGCTTAAACTTATAAGCATAACCTAAATGGTTCAAATCAGTAAATCCTATTTTTGTCCAAGAATCTTCTCCCCCAAATAACAAGCAGGGAAAACAAAATAAAGAATTTTTTTTATCACAACCACAAATCCACGATTTTTTATTATACCGTACCTTCATTTGCAAGTTATACATAGGGAAAATACATTGTAGGTGGAACAGACAAGTCGAAGTCGGCGCGGTCAGCGCGAAACGAAAATGTTCCCAGAAATTATTTTGACGAGTGGATGAGTATTATTATAAGAAATACCTACATACAAACAATAATAAAAACGCAGCGAAAATGTTAACGCAGCCCGGCAAAAATACGTACATAACACCGATTCACACTAAATGTTGCATTTATCCTGTAACCACTTTCGATCTAATTAAACCAATGAAAGCCTGTAATGGTTTGCGACCTTAAAACAAACCAGTTAGCCTCAACAATTATATACTAGATGGCGTGGGATTCGGGCATCGATCAAAGAACCGATACGAAGCGCCGAGCGGGAAATTTAATTATTTGCTTGGAAACTATAGTAAGTTATAACAAGAAAGTTACTAAGAAAATAAAAAAAATATATTTCGATGATATTATTATAATCATAATTTATTTCTTCCTTCTTGCCTGATTTTTTTGGGGGTTATGCAAACCTGCAAACCTTAGGTAGAGCCGCCACTGTAGCCGTTTTTATAAACTTTACAGTTCAAAAACCAGTGATTTTTTATCATATCGGAAAATGAGTAGTAAGTGCTTGCTCCGCCCAATGAATTTTTAAATAATTTTGGTAGCATTATAATTTTAAAAGGTTGTAGTATTAAGATAAAAAAAATATATTTATTATTATGTATATTATATTATTTTTAAAAACTTAAATTAACAATTGTTCATGCTCATCAACCAAGGCATTTATCACTACCTTAAAATGTTATTGGACTTTAATTTAATGAGAATTGTAATGAAAAATTTTAGTGAAATAATATTTCTTTGAAAATAGGTTGATCCAGAGCTGCAAGCTCTCAGAAAACTTAAATCGTTTTTTTGATTTAAATCGTTTTAATGACTTAAGTCATTTGGTAATAAGTCTTAAAATTTAAGTAATTTTCAAAATGATTTGCGACTTAAATATTTTTTTCAAAATAGAAAAAACTTAAGTCATTAATAAAAGGCTTAAATCAGTACATACGATTTAAGTCATATAGAAACGATTTAAGTCAAAAAAAGATTTAAGTCTTTATAAAAGTCGGTAAATTATTTAAGTAATTTAAAAAGATTTAAGTCTTTTTGAAAAAGATTTAAGTCCTTTTAGAAAATATTTAAGTCAGATTTTTCATATATTTTTTTATAAATTTTTAACAGCGGCATTTTCTTTTGAACTGCCAGGGGTTCACGCGGTAGCAGATCAAAAACTCCTTTAATTTCCTACCTACAATTGCTACTGCTAGTGAATAAAAAAACCGCCGCGGTAAAGTTAGCTTTTCGGAACCGTTTGACGGCTACATTAAAAAATGTCCTGTCTAAAATAATTGAAAAAAAAATGCGGATTTATAATTTTGTTATTTTGTTTGCCAACATTCATCGTGTTATGCGTGCGTAGTTAGGTCTAATTTGTAACTTTTATCTATTTTAACAGAGTTTGAATCTATTACCGTTAAGAAGTTACCCATTTATGTATATAAAAAAGTAGCCTCCCTGTATGTACTCTACTAAAAAAAGTGGTTTAAGTTTTTATTTTGATTGTCTACTATATACTCAAAAAATGTGTTTTAAGTTTTTATTTTGTTTGTAAGTGTTCTGAAAATAAATCGTTTTAAATTCTTAACATAGTGGTTTATTATTATCTGTATCTACAATAGATTAATAATATCAGTATTATTAATACCATAAAATTATTATTAACATTTAAAAAATCGTTATATTGACTTAAGGGTAATTATTTTGATTTAAATCACAATTTTTGATTCAAGTCATTTTATTGACTTAACTCTTAGATCACGATTTAAATAAAAAATATAGACTTAAGTCATAAAAACGACTTACTAAAGGAATTAAGCCATAAGATGACTTAAATCACTTTATATTGATTTAAGAATTTGCGAAAATGACTTGACTTGAAAGAAAATGATTTAATCATTTGAACTTTATCTTAGAATTGACTTAAGATTTAAATCATTTTAATTTTAGAAAAAAGTCAATATCGCCTGGATTAGAGTGGTATACCTGAAGTGATTGGTTGTCTTCATTATTCTTTGTACCTAGGGTTGTCTATGTATCTGTTACCATGTAACATGGTTTATATTAAGACAATATAAAAGCTACATTAATGCACTGAGTAAGTTTTATATAGCACTTGTCCCAGTGTGGATGTGGAATATATAATAAAATATAAAGTATTAGCTTACCTCGTAGTCAAACGTCAGTCTCGATGCTCATGGCGTTGATATTGTTGTTGTGTCGCGGGTTGCAGTTCTGCTTTCGTAGCAGCTGGTCCCGCGTCACCAGCAATCCTTCTTCAAGCTCAACCAGGTCGCTGGAGGATTCACTTAAAGAGCTCTTCTTCATATGTTGGCCTGCAAATCGAAAAATTCAAACGATAATAATCTAAAACATCGAGCGCATTACTTTGGTCTTATACCTAAAGTGCCTGGCAGGTAAGGGCAGCTGGTCACATGGTTAAAGTTCTGCGACTGCATCTCTTCCTGGTCCGTCTCACGATGGTAGAAGTAATTGAAATTGGAAACTATCACTGGCACTGGCAAGGCTATGGTCAGCACACCTGCAATGGCGCACAGCGAACCCACTATCTTGCCCCAGACACCGACCGGCCTACGAAAACAACCTCCATTTAGCCACACTCTTTCCAACATGTCATTTCATCATCATTTATTGTTAATTGGCCACTTTAAAATATTAGCTAGTCTGTTACTATTTTAATTACACTGGTCAACAAAGGTTTTAGCCCCAATTAAATGTATATTTAATTATAAAAGTTCCATCGCATTATATTATGCACACAATATAACAAAAATATCAAGGCAAATATGCTAACAGGCTATTGTTGGACATTCATTCATACGTGCTAATTCGGACTATTTGTTTTAAAAATAAAACATTCTCCTTGAATCAATACAAAAATAAATCATTAGTTGTTGACCTGTGTTATTGAAAAAAAAAACTGTATTTTTACTTAAATGTAGAAAAACATTTATTTAAATCCTTTTATAAAGTGTCAGATGCAATTACTAATATAAGTTTATAAAAATAAAATATCTACTATGCACTACAGTCACTAAAAATACTGCAAAAAAGCAACATAATCGCGAGCGGGATGGGTAAGTGTGTTTTGTAGAAAATGGATATTAGCTAAAGGATAATGCTCTGGCTTTAAAAAAGTTTGTAAGATATATCGACAAACAGTTTAAAACCAAATCATTTTGAAGGTTTTTTAAAGGATATAAGCTCATGCAGATGTCATTCCAGAAAATTCTCTTACTCGACAAAATTTCCTTTGTGAATTTAAAGCATCATTAGCCTTTTAAAGAACAGAGCATAATAGTAATAACTTAAATAATTTTTACAAAATTAATTTTTTTATTTAATAAAAGCAGATCTAAGAAAGTGTGAACCAACAAAATATTTCATAATAAAAATTGAATTGGGAAGAGAGAAATTTCTTTTTGCAAGTAATAAACTTTTAAGTAATATTCTTGACAGCCATTTCAAATTTCAAAAGGTAAAACAAAAAATAAGGTAATGTTTTTCTTTTAATGATCGTCGGATTTATAAGCTGATAATTTTATATATTCATTGCAACGGCAATAGTTTGACTCCACAAGATGAAAAATATTTTCAATCTCATAGAGCGTAATTTGCGTAAAATGAACCATTTTAAAAAGCTTTGATGCAAATTTGTAAAATCCTATTTACTTAAAACTTATCTGGAAAGCGTTGTTGATGCAAAAGGCCACATGAATATCAATTTAGTCGATTGATTACTACAAAACCGTTTGCGGCATATATTATAGTTATTGGTTCACACCGTAAATACGGAAACGTTGTCAAGCAAAGAAAAATAAATTGGGTTAATTTGCAAACTGTAAATCAACTTAGAAAATTCTTTGTTCCTGACATCGGGTCAAAAAATTTAAGCAACATCGAGCACACATTGAGCGTCACGACATCAAGGGTCTCAGGGGCTAGACGGTGTCAACCAGATCAAATAGTTACTTCATAAGTATAAATAAAATGGAATCGTCGCTTTAAAGACGGAAGTGGACAAATTACATAATATTCAAATAAATTCATATAGGTATGTAATATAAGGTAAACTGTAAGACGGACGCGTTCCGGAGCAAAGAATTTTCTGGGAGTCTCGAAACTCATGTGTGATATGCTACGGTGCACGTAGGGCCCAAATCAATCAAAAATTGTAATCATTTAAATATTTATTTTAAAGAAAGTCTATTATTAGCTAGAAGATATTGTGTTTTATCAGATATTTTTCAATACACAGACAAATAGAAATCCGTTGTTGTTCTGAATTCCGGTGGGAGACGATTTGGTGTTGAAATCCCCCTAATATTATTTTCTGTATTATAATTCTTATTCCAATTTGGCTATAGAAAATACAATTTCCTTTATAACAGTTACTATACTTTGAAGAAATACAGCTTTCGCTGTGTAAAATTCCCGTTTTCACGTGTTATTTGTTTGAATCCGACTTCTCTTAAGCAAGGTACATAATAAATTTAAATAATTGCATGACTTTAATTTTTAAAACCAAACCAATTGTAAGTGGTGAGTCTTTTTGGATTTTGAATAGAAAATAAAAAAAATAATACTTTGTTATTGATTTATAAGTTTAAAAATTTGTGTTTTATCTATCTTTGGAAATGGGCCCTTGCGCTCGGTGAAGGCAACTAAATCTGAATTAGGTGTGTACATCATACGTCATGTCGCCGTAGCCGACGGTTGTCATGGTGACCACTGCCCACCAGAACGCGTCTGGGATGGACTTGAAGAAGGAATTCTCGGAGCCCGCCTCCGCGAAGTAGACGGCACTCGAGAAGAGCACGACACCTGTAAGGAGGAGGAGGGATGAGTGCATTCATTGAGCAATTGTACCTCATGTCGCCGTAGCCGACGGTGGTCATCGTCACCACGGCCCACCAGAAGGCGTCCGGTATCGACTTGAAGAAGGACTTCTCGGTGCCAGCTTCCGCGAAGTACACAATGCTGCTGAAGAGCACCACACCTGAAACAGAAAAGGAGACGGGCGCCACGGGGGATCCTCCACGTTAGTACTGTCACTTTTTCCTCAGCTTACATGTTGTATTGCATCATTATATTAAAAACATCATCAGAATATTTTCTTTGATTTTTACATTGTTCAAATAAAATGTAGTTGAATCAAAAAGAGCAAAAATGAAAATCTAAAGAAAGAAGGAAATGCTATAGACTTACCTATAAATAGGAAGAAGATGAGTAAACCCAACTCGCGCATACTGGCCTTGAGCGTGCGGCCGAGGATTTGCAGTCCTTTACTGTGCCGGCTGAGTTTAAAGATTCGGAAGACTCGCACAAGCCGAATTACACGAAGGATGGCGAGCGACATCGCCTGATTGGTGCTTTTATCTTGCGGACTGACAGGCGCGCGAGGCAGGTTTAACGTGTCCTCCTCTTCTGCCACGACGGTGGCCAAGGTAATAAAGTACGGAATGATGGCGATGATGTCGATAAAGTTCATGACGTCTCGGAAAAAGTGTAGCTTGTTTGGACACGCTAGGAAGCGCACGGACAATTCGAACGTGAACCAAATAATACAAATGGTCTCTATGAGGAAGAACGGGTCCGTTATGTCTGGCACTTCGTCCTCCTCTATCTTGGTGCCGTTGGTGGTGGTGTTAAACACCTTGTAATGCTTAAACTCGGGTAGCGTTTCCAGGCAGAAGATAACGATGGACAGGAGAATAACGAACACTGATATGATGGCGACGACGCGTGCCGCCTGTGACGATTCCGGATATTCGAATAACAGCCACACATTGCGTTGGAATTCTTGAGACGGCAACGGTTTTTCCTCCTCTTTGATGAATCCCTCGTCCTCCCTAAACTTGTTGATGGCCAGTTCGCCCAGCTCGTAGAACTTGATCTCTTCGGAGAACACATCAAGCGGCACGTTGACGGGTCGTCGCAAACGACCGCCGCTCTGGTAGTAGTAGAGGATGGCGTCAAAGGAGGGCCGGTTTCTGTCAAAGAAGTACTCATTGCGGAGTGGATCGAAGTAGCGGATGCGGCGAGCCGGGTCGCCCAGCAGCGTATCTGGAAATTGGTTCAGCGTTCTCAGCTGGGTCTCAAATCGAAGACCGCTCACCTGCAATTAAACCAAAATCTTGCTACCAACAACCATTTGCTAAACAAAACTTACTTTATCAAAATTTAAGATGAATTCCAACCAATTTTGATAAAATTGTGATGGTATAAATTTAAAATTAATTCAATTTTAAGCTATGATATGCAACCACCAAATACTACTAGTAAACAACGCTGTCTCTCTTAAGGTAGTTGTCGTGGTACAATATTGTCAAACATTTTTAGATTATACGCACCGTAAAAGCATTGAGTAAAAGAATGGTAAAAGTATACGAGCTTGTAGCTAAGTGATTCATATTTTTTTCGCTTGGAGACGTTACCTATACGTAATACTTTCACATATTTTCATAAGTTTTAATCCGGCAACGTCGCTTATGCGCAACCAAGCGCGTATAGCGTTGCCAAGTTGTTTTTATCTGACTCTCTAGTATGTATACTTTTTTAGAAATTGTTGAACTTTAAACGATAAACAATTGGACGGTCAAAATTTTTTTATTATTTTTTTAAAACTCAGCAAAAATACATTAAAAGACTGTTAGTTTTTTTAAAGCTTCTGACATTAGTTTTTTTTATAACTAAGAAACTGGTACAGAACTACAGAATACGTATATATGTATACAATCAGGGCCGAGCCTAGGGTATCTGCCGCCCGGGTGCAAGAATTAAATTTGCCGCCCCCATTAATGTAAAAAATTAGGTTGTCGGTAGGGAAGGAGTTCATTCTCAATAAACATATAACAAATTTTATAGTAAAATAACAAAGTATTTATTAACAAATAGATAAAAGAATAAAATAAAAATACATTCAGGAAAAAAAAACAAAAATAATTAAACTAAACTAAAAAACTAAAATCTACTTTTCTTGCTTTTTTAATAGCAAATTCCCTAATCAAGTCGCCTACATCCAAGTTGTTAGAAATATCTTCTTCAATACTTATAATTGCTAAATTTGAAAGCCTGAATTGACTCATATTGGATCTTAAATAGGTCTTAATTAGTTTTAATTTTGAAAATGACCGCTCTCCATGGGCAACAGTAACTGGTATCGTCAAAAATATTCTTAAAGCTACAAATAAATTCGGAAAGATGCCTTTTAAATCATTAACTAGTTTTTAACTTAAACGCATTAAAAGACAAAATAAACTACTATGTTTGCATCCTATTTGCCTCACGTTAATAGAAAAACTAAAAATTGCTGAAATACGTAGCCGTCAAATCGGAAGAAATTATGCTTTAACTTAGCTTCAGCTTGTAAACAATATCACGTGGTACACAGCGCGCGATTTGATTGGTTTCCCGTAAGCCCGCTTCCGTAAAACATGAAACTTGACGAACTCGAAGCGGACGGACGGAAAGCGAAGCGGGCGGGCGGCAATCTATAAACCGGGCTTTAAGAAAATTCTCATTATTTTTTGGGGCTATCGCGCGTTCGGTTATTTGTCTTTTTTATCATTGCCGCCTGACAGCACAATTTTGGCATTGTTTTTATGTGTAGAATAAAAACGATGATTCCTTGAAACGCCGACATCAATAAAACGCAAATGATTTTTAGAAAGTTTTTTGCATATTGCAAGGTGGCTTTTTTATTCTTGATAATATGATACAAATTTTTTGATGATATTTTGCCGCCCTGTGTTAGTGCCGCCCGGGTGCCATGCACCCCTTGCACCCCCGGCACGGCTCGGCCCTGTATACAATCCATGTTAATTATCCAATTTTTAATTGAATTTATCTCGGGTTATAGACGGTCAATCAACTTCAAATTTTAAGGATAATTGTAAAAAAAATTAAAATTTTCTGATGGTATGCCTACAGCACGACAACTACCTTAAATCCGCGAGGACTGTTTTTATTTCTCCAGTACTAACAATAGGTGCGTTCTTTTCACCTGAGATCTCAGTTAATCTCAGCTCACATCGGTAAAATTTGCAAATGTGCGCGTTCTTTTTGCTCCACTCGCCGTCAGATTGCGCGTTTCAATTGAGTGTGTCGTTCTTTTTAATGCTTACTCAGATCACTACATCTCATATCACATTAACTGAAGTGAGCTGAGATCTCAGGCGAAAAGAACGCTCCTAATGTAGCGTTAGATCATCTGGTTTATGAGTAATGGCAAAAAATGCGATGGAAAACAAAGAAAATTATGTTAAATTTGCGGCTGAAACAAATAAAAACATGATGCACCAAGCATTTGTAGTAAATGTTCGACCCGGTCGATGGTTTTCAAGGGATTTTGTTGATTTCTTAATGCCCTTTTTGGAGCTGGCAACCACTAAAATTGGAAAAGTGGAGGAAATTGTTGTATGTCTTCAAGGCTTATTGAGGACATCTGGGGCATTCCCAAAAGCACTATCCATCGTATTTTGACCAAATATTTGGACAAGAGGAATTTTTGCATCCACTTTGTACTGCACAATCTAACGGGTGATTAAAAAACGCCAGAGTTGAGTATTATAAGGACAGGTTTTGCTCAAAAAGGGGCAAACAGGGGTCGAACGCTTAGCTCCCTGCGATTTCTGGCTATATCCAAAATTTGGCGTTCATAGGAATACTTTTTGACAGCATTGCTAACTTTCAAAAGTTTATAATGATGGGGAGTCTAATTTAGAAAAATGACTATTAGAAGTGTAAGACCAGTCCTCGCGGATTAGGGACAGAATATGTATTGGACCAAAATTGTTTTTTACAAGAATTTAAAGATAATAAATTATTACCAAATAAGAAACTTACGTTAATCACGACTCTTTCACAAAAATCGTGGTCGTGTGGGATGGGCTCGAAGTGGGCTACACCAGTAAACTGGGAGTGGGGGGTGTGCCCGTCCTCTTCCTGGCTGCTGAGCTTGGGCAGCGACCTAAACAAAAATATAAAATAATTGGATAATGCTTTACCATTAGAATAAAACTACTATAGTAATAATGCCTTCAACATGAAGAGTTACGCAAGTTTTTATGATTCTTTGCTTTTTATAAATATATATATTTATTATTAGTTTTTCTTATACATTAGGTATATCTAAATAGTAAACCAAACCTAATAAATTGCTAACCGTTTGAAATATTATTTATTTATGTAAAGTGTAATGTTACACTGTTCAGTGTTTTGTGCATATTCGGTAGTGTTGTCTTGAGATATGACCATGCCCCCCGCATATCACCACGAGCCCCCTGGCTGAAAGAAGTAATTGTTTTCTAAAAGTTTTTTAATCTACCAAGGCAGGGAAAAGTTTGTATACCGAGCGGGGGCCATGGATATGACAATTGATCATAAATAAATGATATTGATGTGAAACTGACAAAATGTTTAGACTAAAATCTATTTTTAAGATATAGGATTAATTGTACATTGTTTTGTTAAATATTTATTTCGTATCTGTACTCGTATTATATTCATGGAATTCAATTAAATCTTTTAATAAAATACTGATTGGTGGATTTAAAATTGTAAACATCGTTTTTATAAAATTTTAAATTTTAAATGTTAACATTACTTTTTTGTTTTTTTCCTTTGAAACACAGTATGCAACACTATATCACAGCACTTTGACATTATAAATAAACACAACTTTTCTGTATAAACAACCGAACAACATAATAAACAAACGAATTGACAGATTAACCATGTTTATTTTAAATAAACAAAAAATGTGCAGTTTTTGCAGTGCAAAAGGTTAACAATGTTGCCAATACCAAGATAATATTGCATTTAATTTAATTATCAAGCTAATTAAAACTCAAGATAATATTATGAATATACCTACGGTGTTTTTATGGTTTAAAATTCAATAAAACAAATCTTTATTATGCCTTCAATTTAGAGTATAATATTCTCCAAACCACGTGATTTTGATAACAATAATTAAGGTTAATTTAAATAATACAATAATTGTGTTCTAAATTAGGACTTTTATACACAAAAAATACATATATTGCATCATTTTCTGAAAATATGACGATATTAGCTTGACACTGACAGAAAATTAACCTTAATTATATTTATGAAAGTTACGTGGTGGGACTTGTGTGGATCCTAGCACAATTGTGGATCCTAGTACATAATAATTATGTATACGTAAGTAAGCACACTGTATTGTTAAAGTAATTATGTCATAATTACTTTAACAATACAGTGTGCTTACTTACGTATAAAAAAATTTAAACATTTTTTATAATAAAGCATTTTGTATGCAAAATATAAATTACCAAATGATATCCGATAAACTAAACTAAAACACACAAGGTTCACTATATAATTAAAGGAAATTCCTGTAATTATATTGTAAAAAAAATGTATGCATGAGTATATATGTACTCATTCTAATAAATTTTAAATAATTTATATAAATAATTATAAAAATATTGTATTTACCAGTTGTAAATTAAAACAATCAATAAATATTGATTGAACAAATCAAAAATATTTTATTCTCACCGATAACAGTGGCCGCAGCAATAGGAAAACATGTTCCTCAATAAAATTAAAATTAAATTAGACTAGTTACCCAAGATTTATGACTTTCCACTCGCCTTTCATAAATGTTATCTATCGTTAACTAAATGAATAATTGTAAAATTTATCTTAATGTTATTTATGTTGACATTAATTATGGCCGTACCTATAATTAATTTCAAAACAATGAAATATATAAACCTTTTAGTTGGAATTAGGAATATTGTAAGGTTTGTAAAAGAAAAACTGAACCAAGTGATTTGGATAGGTTTCTTTTAAAACCAACATCATTAATAAAGTTTCCGTTTTCATCAATTTACTACCATCAGATTTTGTCATCATGAATGAATGCCAAACGCATCGACTTTCCCAATGCCCAAATAGGTAGCTGTTTTTCCTTTTTTATTCAATGTATGTGAAGACAAATTCAAAGCAGTGGGTTTTAAACAAGATATTCATAAGACAGCGACTTTGCATTGCATCTGCAGCTTCCATCAGCCCTTGCATATATCTTTCAACATGACGTGAAACAGACATTTATGACATAAGTAAAGTATTACACCTATATTGAACGACTGGACAGGAAAAAGTCCAAATGTCCAATTCACATAATATATTTTTCATTGTTTGATATAGATGGCATAAATAGTTTGCTTATTTGGTTTTGAGAATGGTGACCCACAATGAAATTATTGTTTCCAAATTATTTCCAAAACCCCTTAAAATAGGCTTTCGTTTCTGCAATGTGTTCATCATTTAACCCAAATCTCTTATAAGAGTATACTACCGAGCCATTTTTTAGGTTTGGAAACAGATAACAGTTGCAGGGGGTCAAATCTGAAGAATATGGTGGATGTGAGATCAACTTGCTGAATTGTATGCCAGAGCATTTTCTTGGTGAAAAAGCCCTTTTTTTCGCCAAATTCGGCAGCTTTCGTTTTAATGTGTCGTCAAATCGATCCAGCAGCTCTGCATTTTATACGCCAGTGATCGTTTTGTCATTTTTAATATAATCTACATATATGAATAACACCTTGTGCATCCCAAAAACTATGGCCAAGACCTTGTTGGCAGACACCCATGGATTTGCTTTCTCTAGCTTCGATATGCCAGGGGTAGTCCACTATTTTGACTATTCCTTGGTCTATCGGGTTTTGCAATGGATCCATGTTTCGTCTAAGGTTAAGGTTTGAAGTGGTCTCACGGTCGCGATTATATATTTTTTACTCGTTCACGTGAAATGTCCACAGCATCAGCAAAACTCGCACACCTTCACTTATTATATAATATACCAATGTAAAAACTCAAATATCAGATGCATACAGAAATTATATGTTAACTATAGAACAAAATATTAATAATAACCCGACATCTTTTTGGTCTTTCATAAATTCTAAAAAGGGTTCTTCACGTATCCCAGGTAAGGTCACTTTTAACAACTTGGAGTATAGTCATCCCAAAGATATTGTTAATGCTTTTGCAACCCATTTTAGTAGTGTTTATATAGACTCTGGTGCATTTTCTAATAATAACTATTATATTATAGATCCCAGTTCCTACCAAACAATAAATATTTCCAGCATTAAGGAGATTGATATCAGAAATGCCATTAAAAAACTAAAAGATAAAATGACTGCAGGTAATGACAATATTCCCTGTTTTCTTTTGAAGGATTGTTGTGGCGCCTTTTTGACCCCATTATTAATTATTTTTGATAAAATTTTAGAATCGGGAGTCTTTCCAAGCTCATGGAAAATCTCAAAAATAATCCCTGTTTTAAAAAAAGGTACCAATTCCCAAGTTGAAAATTATCGGCCCATATCAATTATTAACAATTTTGCAAAGATTTTTAAATCAATTATTTACTCAAAAGTATACACTCAAGTTAAGCATCTGCTCTCACCAAGTCTTTATGGAAAAAAGATCAACTTCGTCCAATCTTGTCAGTTTCACACAACTTGCCAGTAAAACCATTGATAATCGCGGGCAGTTGGACGTTGTCTATACCGATTTCCAGAAAGCATTCGATCAAATCGATCATTCAATAAGAAAGCTTTGTAATTTTAGATTTGATAACACTATTGTCCACCTTTTTACATCTTACTTATCACATAGACGGCAGATTGATTTATTTTACTCAGATTCTTTTGTATTCACTTCGGGAGTGCCGCAGGGTTCTAATTTGGTTCCCCTATTGTTTCTTTTGTTTATAAATGACCTTCCTAATAAAATCAATTCTTTCAAGCTGTTGTATGCAGATGATCTAAAAATGTATCAGCAGATAAAATGTGTGAGTGATTGCGTAGCCCTACAGGATGACCTAAATAGACTTAATTAATGGTGCATAGAAAACAGATTAAACTTGAATATTTCAAAATTCAAAGTTATGTGCTACAAAACCAAGAAGAAACCCATATACTTTAGCTATAAAATTAATGATTTGGCTTTAGAAAGAGTTACTTCATTTAAAGACCTTGGCGTGGTATTCGATCCCCAACTTGAGTTTGCTTCTCATATCAATGATATTACCAAATCAGCTTTCAGAACACTTGGCTTTATTATTAGAAACAGTAGGGGATTTAACACAACCCAAACATTGCATTTACTATATTTTACTCTATTGCGAAGTAAATTGGAATACGCGAGTGTGGTCTGGTCACCTAAATAAATAGCCACATAAATCATATAGATCTATATGATTTATGTGGCTATAGAGTCTGTACAGAGACGCTTTTTAAAGTTTTTATTTTTTAAATTTCAAGGATTCTATCCCCCGCAAGGATACGAACACGCTTTGTTGCTAAATTCGGTTAATTTTGTATCTTTATCCATCAGAAGGAAGATCTTGTCAGTATCTTTTTTATATAATCTTGTAAATTATAAAATAGATTGTTCTGACCTGTTAGGTCAAATTGATTTTTTGATTCCCAGAACCAGTAGTCGCCAGAACCATACATTCAAGTGTCCGATTGCTCGTACCAATGTACAAATTACCTTTAATAACTTTAATAAAATATCAACTAATTGTGATATTAACTATTGTTCACTAAAAACTATTCACAGGGCCATTTTAAATTCTAATGATGTATAAATCTGATTAAAAGTTTAGTTATAAGTTTGTTCACATTTTTTTTAAATATTTTTTTTGTAAACCTCTTTGTTATATAATATGAATGTCCTACTATGGTGTAAACTGTTGGGCAATAAACTCTATTATTATTATTATTATTATTTTTATCGATCCTCAATTGCCATATCCTGGATTTAATTAACCATTTCCGGTGTGGTTTATAGTTTTTTGATTTTAATGATTGACTTGCATTAACTAAATACTGTAGTATTTTACTGAATACATTTAAAGAATAATTTTGACAAAATCCAACGTTGATTTGATACTTAGGCACCATTTCTTGCCTAGGTCAATTATTTGTCAACCCAGCGGCTGTGCGGCACAGCCTGTGCCTCAGCCTTGTATTTATACCTTAAGTTATAAACTCAAATAACGGGTGGATCTTTGCTCCCCGATTGTAGCCACCTGGTGGGAGATTTTGCTGTAATTTTTTGAGATTGGTTTCACTAAACTTGGGCAGATTAAACAATGGGTCGCTACAGTACAGCACAACGCATTGAAAATGTAAAAATTCGGGTGAAAAATAATAAAATGCTCTTCGTCCAATTTATGTTGCACATAATCGACCTACTGAAGCCACTATTCGCCGTATCGTTGAAAAATTCAAAACCGCTGGTTCTGTTTTGGGTATTCCACTGTAGTAACTTAAGATTAGCCTAAAATATTGCAACAGTACGATATAGTGTGTGCATAAGAACTTCAACCCCTCACAGAACCGACTTTTAAAAGAATTGGGCATTTCAGTGACTTCTCTGTGGCGTATTTTGAAGAAAGACGTGGAAATGCACACGTATAAGATTCAGTTGGTACAAGAGCTTAAACCAATGGATAATTCGAAGCGCTGTTTCTTGGCTGATTGGGCCCAGGAGCATTTGGAAGTCGATCATGATTTTGTCAAAAAAAATATCCTTGCCGATAAATATGGAAAATACTCCTTTAAAAATCTTGAAAAAACTATAACCGTGATGGCCATCGTCAAAATAATCAACATCAACTTTTTTATTGAACTGAATATTAAAAAAAAATCATTTAGAAATAAAAGTGGGGTTCTCTTCATTTTTACTACTCCTAACAAAATATTTTTTATCCTGTTTGCAA